AGAGAGAGAGAGAGAGAGAGAGAGAGAGAGAGAGAGAGAGAGAGAGAGAGAGAGTACTTGCTGGTAATCTATTGGAGGAGGAGAGTGATTTGCTCACAAGGTCGGCATTGCCATATGTGGTGTTCATGTTGATTGCACTGGCCTTCTAAGCCCAGCACCAAAGTAAAATCGACTGGTCGAGTGACACTGTGCGTTGGTGAGATTTAGGTAGATGGTTAGGTAAAGGCTGACCAGGCCAATGATGCTTAGCTGGTCTTTTTTTATGATCAGCCACACTGGGACTGCGACATGGCTGAGACTCCTCTGGGAGGCAGCAGTGGGGAATCTTGGACAATGTGCAAAAGCCTGGTTCAGCAATATCGTGTGAGTGAAGAAGGGGATTTATTGTGTAAAGCTCTTTCATTCGTAGTGAGATTATGATAAAAACCGAAGAAGAAGCCCTGGCTAGCAGGTTTTATTTGGAATGACTGGGCGTGCGTGCAAGTAGGGGGTGAATTAAGCGCGAAGTGGTCAAAGTTGCCAGCTCAAGTGGTCGAATGCCTTCGAGGGTGAATTGGGGTCTGAGTGGATAGTGTTTAGTGTCTGACTGTATCTGACCAGCGCCCAATGTGTGCTTCTAATTGGTGACACGGTAGGTTGCCATTCACGCCTTCATCATACAGGCTGCACTCACTTGTGTGAACGAGGCCTCCCGTTCTGATGTGAGATGAAGCATGCTTATGTTCTGTCTGTCCTGTGCTCTCTCTTTGTGTGGATTCATGTTCAGCCACTTCAGCCACTTCTGCCTGCAAATGGCATTTCCTTTATGGTAATGTTGTTTTGGCAAGGCCGTTTCGGGACCAGTACCTGGATGTCTTGTCTGTCATAGCTTTGCTGCTGCACGCCAATTTTCTCACCATCCAGTTGCTCCCTAGCCATGTGGAGCTTCCTCGGCAGGTCACATCGTCACATGTCCTTGCCTTGGCACGAGCTCTAAATGTGCCGAATGGCAGTGGGTTGGCTCAGTCTGGCATAGCAGACTCTCGCAAATTTCGTTTTTCTAAAGAAGAAAAAGAAAAGCTGCTTTTTATTCTAATAATGAAGAACATGAGGACCGGAATCCCTCAACATCTCAACCCGTAAAGTACTGGGGCCATTACCCAGTTCAGGCTATGTGGCTGGAAACCGGGTCCAGCGTCCCTTGGTCTGCAACTTTCCAAAAAAGTGTAACTGGACTAAAAGAACAAGAGCGGAAGTTAGGAAAGAAGCTATGACAACAAGCTAGTCTGGGGGCCTTACTCTGTACGGCTTAAACCACCAGAACCTCCTCAAAGTGCTCCGCGGTAACGGGCGTGGCTTTTGGGATGAACGGGCCTGCGCGTGGCTGGGCGTTAACTTGGAGCACTTTAAGGAGGTACTGGTGGTATAACTCATGGAATGGACCTCCCAACATAACTACAGACAACCCCTGTTGATCTCCAAGTAATGTAAGCATGGCCTGATTGTTTGCCGATACCTCCTTCCTTAAACCCTAAACCCTAAACCCTACATGAACTGTGACTGGTGTCAAATCATCCGGCCGAGGTCCACTACATTGTCTGCGGTGCCTAGATTCCTGAGGTCAGTTATGCTGATGGGGTTGGATGTGCTATCCTCCAGTGGAACTCGAAGCAGGAGCTGTCAATGGTCACCAGCTGCCGGTTGGCTAGTACATCTTGTCCGAACCTTCTTCGTAGTTTTTTGGCCTTCACAGGGTTGTCTGCCATCCGTTTCCTTGCTAACTTCCATTGAGCCTGAAGGTCCGTCTCCAACAGGCTAATGTGGATTGCCTGCGCCTCGTGAATATGCATTGACCGCTTCTCGAACCACTGCTGGACTCGGACGTACATGCATTCATTGCATTACTGATTTATTGTTGTTGTTGTTGTTGTTGTTGTTGTTGTTTTTTTTTTTTTTTTTTTTTTTTTAATGGTCCGATGGACCATGGATCAGATATTAAACTGATCAGAACAGATACTATACTTAGGCTTAGCCAAAAGGCCGAGAAAGCTATATCTAATTTATTCAATTTTCATCAATGGATATGCTTTTTGTATTTGAGTGTCTGGACTATGGAGGTTAAAGACTGGTTTCAAAAGAGCGGAAACAACTTGGGGGATGCAGATGGCTTAGATTGGGGAAGGAATGGGGGTTGCATGAGAGAGAAAGGGAGTGGAGAAATGTAGGGCGAGGAAGCTGTCATGGAGGAGCTGTGTGTACTGAGTGCAGTATGCAGGAGTTGGACTGGAACTTTGAGAATTTTTGTCAAGGTCTCGCGGACAGCCTTCTTATCTACTTCAGTTGCTCTTTTGTATTGTGGTTGTGCAATTGCGAAGGATATGGCGATTCTGGGGTTGAAGAGGGAGAGGACGACATATAATCAGCTGATTGTGGCATACAGCAAGTCGGCGCGGCAGGCGGAAGCGGAGGGTGTGCTACAGGATATGAAAGCAGACGGGCTGACGGCCAGCACCGTGACATACAATGCACTGATGGAAGGGTAAATTATCCGATCGGATGTGCCATCAACGTGTCTGCTTGCCTGCCCGCCTGCTCGCCCACCTGCCCACCTGCTGTGTGGATGTGCAGGGGGGTTAATGAGGGAGATGAGCTCTCAAGTGCAAGTTCTAATGAGATGTAAAAGACGGTAGCGGAGGGTATGCGTCCTGTGCTGCAAGACATCAAAGTGGCGGGGCTCAGGCTGATCACTCTGACATGCAATGCACTGATGAAAGGGTAAACTATCAGATCAGTTATGCCATCATCATGCTCACAAATTCTGTATCAAGTATACCATCATCATCCATATTTTTCCAGTGCGGAAGCTGAAGCAGCCCTGAAAAAAATGTGGGTTGCAAGAGTGCCAGCCAGAACCTGTGCTGTTTTTGTGTTCTGTATTCTGCTCGTGTTGTTTTCCTTCTTTTTCGGTTCTTGGCAGCCGTCCTTGCCTGGGAGGTTGGGTGTCTAATGACTGTTACAGGCTGTTAGTCCCATTCTCCCTTCAGCAGCAGAGGACTGAGTCTTTGTTTCTTCTCTTCACAGCCTCTCCTCCTCTTGTTTGTTTCGATTTCACAGTTCATCACGGTGACATATACTCTGAGACAAATAAAACAAAACGACTGCGGACTTGTGTTCCTCTGCTGCTTTTCCTTGTCCGGGTCCCTCGTCTTTTCCCACCACTTTGCCCTCCATTTTTCCCTCTTCCTCGTCATATGTCAGGGCAGCACTGCGGGGCGGTTTGCTATCTTGCAGCTGTAGAGACACGACCTTGCCAGGCTCTGTCCAAAGTAGGCAACAGGAACCTTTCAGTCAGCTGTTGTGATGGCTTAAACCGCCAGTGTACTCCCGCGCAGGCCTCTTTTTCACGATGAGGAGTTGTGCTGCGCGCCAATAAAGGATGAACCCGGCGCTGGCACTTTGTCACTTGCCTGATGGCGCCAGCCAGTTCGGTCTGGTAGGCCGAGCCCCGAAGGCTGCAGCACAATAATGGCCGCATTGGAGCAAAGTGGGTGGGGAAATTTATGGTAGTTTAGAGGTGTCTGTGAACCACCAGTATGTGTCCGCCTCTTTTTCCCAGTGCTCAATTTTGTCCACCCCTGGACGCCAAATGGTAGCGCGGTCAGGGCCTATGCAGGGAAATTGCAATTTCGCTACAGTAGGCGAAACTAGATTGTGGGTCTCCTGATACTGACGCAGGGCAAGGGAAGGCGCCCAAGACAATGCTGGTTCAAGAAAGCTTCCAGGCCAGGCACAGCTGTATGACCACGCCTTCTAGTCAGGGGAAACTGATAGATTTAAAATTTGAATGTATGTGTATCTAAGACTTAAAACACGGATTGTCTACAGGGGGTCTGTGTTTGAATGGTCAGTAGAGAGTGAATCCTGCCGCATCACGAGTTAGTCCGAGTTGTTTGCACTATTGCCAATTGTCAAGAAATACTGAGTTTGTCATTCTGTTAGAAGATGGGACCCACTCGCCATTTCTCACGTTTGATGGGTAGTGCAACGAGCCCCTGCATAATTCAGTCATACATAGCCCCTATTTTGGGCCTATTTTGATTTGGCAGTGTTCCCTTTTTTATTTTTATTACACAGATGTCTTCTCCTCATATGGGGGCCAGTTGTATTTTTTGACTACCCGATTTTCTTCTCTCAATACGTCTCTTGCTAACTACCTATATCTATGTCCTACCCACAAACCCGACGGAGCAGCCTAGGATAATTATAAACTGAACTAGAACCACCTATGGACCACAGAATGCAGCTACCATTAGACAGAAGACCGACTTTAAATGTATTGGCGAGCGGTAAGCTATCCTAAGGTTATGGGTCCTACCTAACTATGCTCTGTGCGGGGGGCAGCACTCAAGCTCCTAACACCTGGCTTGGGCTGGAAAGTCAGGACACAACTTCCACAACCAGCCAGGAGGGACAAACCGACTGTCTCAGTCGGTGAACCCGAACCCGAAGTATGATTTGGCATTTTCTGTTTTGGCTCACCCAGTGATTTGATTAACTTGCCTTTCATTTCAAGTCACATAGAGGTGATGGTTGCTCCTGGTCAGTTGGGACCTTTTCCTTTTCCGATTACTCTCACTTTGGCTTCGAGCCTTTCTTGGTGATGCTTTGCCACGGGCGGAGTTCCTGTGCTGACTGATGTCCCATCGCTCCCTGTGTGGCTGCTTTGTGTGTTATTTGCCTCTCTGGGGATTGCTTTCTTTACAATGTACAGCTATAGTGTGCAAGGTCTTTATGACGAAGCATCTGCAGTGTTCCAGGACATGCTGCAGGAGGGCATCAGGCCGGATTTGAACTCTTTCAACAACCTCATAAAGGCGTATGTCAAGGGAAGACAATTGGCCTGGGCGGAAAGTGTGATGCATGACATGAGAGAGCAGGGGATTCGACCAAATGTATTGTCCTACGTGATGCTCGTTGAAGGGTATGCGCGAGTTGGAATGCTTGTAGATGCCGAGCGGATGCTACACGAAGCGAAGGATATGGGACACACCCTTCCTGAAAAGACATTGAGTGTCCTTATGGGCTTTTACGAAAAGAGCAGATCACATACGAGGGAAGCAGTAGAGAAAGTCAAGGTGATGAAGGTGAGAATGGGGATGGCCAACACCCAACATGACGAAGGAAATGTGAAGATGCCGTTTCTGAAACCTTTGGCGAAAGATGGTAGGGGGGATCTGGCTTGGGAGTTCAAGAAAGAGATTGCTGGTTTACGGGAGCGAAGGGCAGGTGTTGGAGGGGTGAACCTTTCTTTGATGGGCGCATACCCACAAGCTGTTCGGTGCGCTGCTAGAAATGAACGATCGCAGACATAAACAGCATTCGTCAAGGAGGTGAGCGACAAGGCCTGGGCCCTCGCGTGGTGGCAACGGCTCAATGCCAGTCGTTAATTTTGACTGTAGTGTATAAGCGTCTCAATTTTCTTTATAGAATTCATATTGTGTGTGTTAATCTAGGTAGCACAACTGGTTATCCGGGTGCCCCTGAACTATGCTGGCCATCAGGCCTGATGGACCCGGCTGAAGATATATCCCCGCCCTGCTTAAAGTATAGGGTATTATTCCTTGAAAAAAAGAACTCTGAAAAATCAGAAAAAAAAGTACGTTATACGTTTCAAGAATACAAACAACTTTTGGCTGGATGTCATCTTTGAATTCTTGACGGAAGTGAAGATAGAAAAATAAAATAGACAAATAAAATTGCAAGAACTCAGCTCAAATCATGCTTTAGTCGTGGGCTGTGGGTCATCATTTTGGTCAAAGGGCCAAAATAGGGGTCATGCTGCGCCCAAGTCATGTAAACTGCCTGAACAAAGACGTGCTACTGTGGGGTGCGCAAAGCAAGGCCTAAAACTGGCCTTCAGAGGCCCAACGTGCGACAGTTGACCGTGTGAATTCAAAGGTCAACAGCAGCTCGGAAATTCAGGCCCACGAGTCAAAGTCAACATGGACACAGTCCAGGCCGCCGATCAGACACACACACTTAGCTGTTTGCAGGTATCTGTAAGGAATAAAGTCCAAGTGGGAATCTGCAACAGTATGGGATCCAGGCCATTGGCTGCGAGACAATCTGGGCCATTGTATCTGAGAGACCAGCGGCTGGTCAACCGGAGTCGACACTATAAGTTGACCCAGCCCCTGCTGACCAACATTCAGTCTTGCACATGCTGCTTGACTCTGGCTTGACGCTGGCTGGACGCTAGTTGAACGCTGGCACTACACTGGCTGGACGCTAGCCTGGTGTGCCGATGCAGGACTGCTGATGCTGTGGGCTGGTGCAATTCTCTGTCTTCGGCAACAGCTGGACTCTTGATTATGCTAACGTGACTCTCGCCACACTGATTATGGCATTGAAGGAGTACTGGCTAGGAGGATAAGGATTGGGAAATGGAGGGAGACGAGGATATGAAGGAAGAAGAGGATGCAGAGGAGGAGATGGAGGAGGAGCAAGAAGACAAAGAGGAAGAGGAGGAGGACGGGAGGGAGGATGAGGAGCAGGGAAAAGAGGATGACCCGGATGAGGGAATAGAGGAGGAGGAGGAGGAGGGGAGGTGGAGGAGGAGGAAGAAGATGAACAGGAGGACGAGGAGGAGGAAGAAACAGGGGGCTCGGGGGTTCGGAAAGAGTGACGAGGAGGTTCAAGAGAAAGATGGCCAAGAGGTTGAGGAGGAGGAGGAGGGGGGAGTGCTTTAGGAGAAAGCACAAAAGAGGAGGAGAACGAGCACAGAGGGGAGGAGCAGGAGAAAAGACAACGCAGAGGGGGGGGAGGAGGTGGAATATGTAGAGGAGGCGGAATATGAAGATGAGGAGGGAAGGAGGAGGAATACAAAAAGGAGGAGGAGGCAGAGGAGAAGAACAAGCACAGCGGGCAGGAGCAGGAGAAAAAACAATGCAGAGGAGGGAGAGGAGGTGGAATATGTAGAGGAAGAGGAATATGAAGATGAGGAGGGAAGGAGGAGGATGTGGAGGAGGAGGTGGAGGAGGAGGGGGAGGACGAGGAGGACGAAGATGACGACAAAGTGGAGGAGGAGGAGGAGAAGTAGGAGGATTAGACGGCGGCGAAAAGGAGGAGGAAGAAAAGTAGTAGAAAAAATACGAGGAGGAAGAAGACGAAGAGGGGGAGGAGGAGGAGGAGGATTTGGTAGAAAATGGAGGCAAAGAGGAGGAGGAGGAGGAGGAGGGAGAGGTGCAGCCCCTCGTCGAAGTTCGGGAACACCAAACTTGAATGTCGGCACCCAAATCACGTGTGGGGCAGGGGGCTACCTGCGCAAGATTTCGGGTCACCACTGCCCAACTGGGTCGTCGATCTTCAAGATCTGACGGCGCAGATTGGGCCTTTTTTGTTTCGCAGTTTGAGGCCTTAACGGCCTCCCCCAAAAGAATCCAGGGCCTCCACTGGTGGCAGGTTGTCCACCTTTGTACCTCCACCGCCCCTGAAAGAGTCAAACCGGGGGCTGTCCATTTTTAAATGGGGTTGGACAGTTGTGACTGGGTGGAGGTTTGGGCCGGTTATCCACGTGGACATCCTGGACATGCGGGGGGGACCCGGACGTCTGCCTGGGTAACCTAGGATTAAATCCATTACCCCGCTAATCGCTGTCTATACCCTGTGTGAACCCTTTAATGGTCCTAGAAGCTTTTCGTGGTATAAGGACAAATTATTATATTGTTATGATCCCGGCCAATTTCGAGATACACATCCATCAGAAAGTACAATGCCGTCCAATTGCAGAAAGAAATGAATGGACTTGAGAGGAGAGAGATGATTAGAAGAAGAAGAAGTAAGAAAGAAGAAGAAGATGATGTACACCAGCATAGACAAATGACAAGGCTCTTCTTCTTCGCCCAACAACCTCCTCCTCCTTATCTCCCCCTTCTCTTATTCATACAAGAATTAATTATACTGTTGAATGGCTGATCCAGAATCAATGTCCGAGTCCTCTTCTACTGCAGGTATCACTTGAGGTCCACCATAGCCATGGCCGCCTCTCCCACTCTTCAGTCTCATAGGTCGAGGCTATGGCGGACTACTAGGCCTTGCCCAGATGCCCAAAGGACAACCCAAAGCAGCTATGGATGCTCTAGCTCAGGCCGCCATGCCTGACCCTGCCTTGAAGCTTCTTGGTGTGGCTCTCCCCCGTTGGGGACTCCTTGCTGCAGCGCCCACCAAGGTGATGAAGATGGCTGCCACCATAGCCAGGTAAGTACCCCTGGCGCTCCTCCCCCTTCCTTCCTTCTTTCTCCGTCCTGTCCTTCTCCTTCCCCCCCAGCAGCGCTGCTCCAGCCAGCGCTCCACCAGTGTGTCGCCAAACTTGCACACCGAAAAAGAGGCCGGACTCTCCGCCCGGCCCGAAGATATAGCGGCCTGCTTTGCCTCTTGGGCGGTGACTTCCAGGCCGCTGGCCTTCCAAGCAACCGGTACCTCCTCCTTTTTGGAGGGAAACATCATTGCAGACTCTGATATTGCCCGTGCAGGCCCTAGACTCAGACTGGTACCCGCCTAGACCTAGCCTACACTATTGGGCCTCTAAAAATGCCACTTTTGTCTTCTTCTGCTCAGCCTCCGGTACCTGCACATCTACCCCTTCCAGGTGCGGTACCGGTAAGTACCGGCCCTGAGGGCCCAATGAACGAGCAAGTGCCCTTGCAGGCCACACACACACTCAAGCCAACCAGCACTCGGACAGGCACGGCCACACACACACTCAAGCCAACCAGCACTCAGACAGACATGCAGTCCAGCAAGTGTGCACACACAGACTTAGTAGCAAGCGGGAAACTCAGCAGGGCATTCAGTCTATGGGCAAAACTCAGAAATCAACCGTGTGTTTCAGTCCATGTTTGGACGGGTCATCACACTACTCCCCCCTCGAGAGCGAGACATCGAGGGTCTGCATTTCTGCAAAGGCCTGGAGGCCGTGGAATTTTCCTTGCTGCTCGGCCTGTGTTTCCTTCAACCAACTGGCGTGTCACAACTGTCTGGACCCCAAATGCGAAATTGACAGCCAAGGGCCTCTTGTGATTTGTTAGGCCCGCCTTCCCCTTAGGCCTGCCGAGGACCCAGATCCTCACACATTCATCTAGTTCGAGCCGGATTCGAACTGAGGTCTGCATTTCAGCAGTTTATGGGTGTACCAACAGAGCTAAGGCCCATTGGTGCTCTGAGTTTGAGATGTGCAGCGTGTCATTTTTCCTTTTCCAGTGCAGACAATCGAGCTAGATGATCATCCGGCCGTATTTGTCATGCTGCCTAGGTCTTAATTCAATTGCTTCAATATTCTTGTTTTTTGGGGGTCGGAGGCCAAAGGATGAGACAGGTCCTGCAAAACCCCTCGATACACCTTATGAAATATCCTTGCACAAGGTTCATTGAATCACCGCTGTTCAAACCCAACCCTTGTGATCATGGTCGTGCTGGATGCCATGCCACCGGGCCTTCCCACATCCACGAGTGTGCGTCTTGAGAGATTGTGGACCGGGCCGGTCTTGCGTGGGATGCTGTGTTTCAGCCAACGCCATGTCTGCCAACTCAGCAATTCACTAATAATGTAGAAAAATAGGGTAGGATTGCTTCCTAACTAAGAAGAGATACCCCTGTTGCTCCCTAACTAAGGCCGCACCCTGGATTAACAGGCTATAACTAAAGCAACACTTGCGGATGTTGAGCCCGTCCGTAACACAAGAAACGCAGCAGTAATTTCAGCGAATGAAATATCTCCTTCCCAGTAAGGAAGTTAGGATTGCTGTGACCTCCATCTTGCCCTGAACACAACGCTGCCTCGTTATTGCCAAATCTGACCTGAAAGATACTTTGTATCATACATGCGGCGCATCACGTGTGCGCAAGTTGCGTATGTGCGCCACATAACGAATGCGTACACGTGCGCGCACACGTGATGCGGCACATTTACAAAATAATAATAATAATAATAATAATAATAATAATAATAAATAAAAAAGGGTAGGCCATGGTAATCATAAGTGTCCGTCCGTTTTGAAAATTGTAAATGCCCAGAAAAAGAATATTTTGGGGCCACTTCGTACTGCTCATTGGGTATTTTCTGATTTTCAAAAGGGACCCTGCAAACAATCAGCAGGGTTCCCAAACTTTTGGAAGTCCATTCAACTGCTGGCAGACCTCGAGCAGGCCAGCAATATATCCTGGATTCGGATTCAGGTCTGTGTTCCAAGAGTTATGGGTTACGAACTTGCTCCAAACACTACAGTAGCTGTCTCATTTTTTTGTTTTTCCTTTTCTTACATGCAGTGGCCCTAAGGGCCTAAGGGCCTCGCTCCACTCATCAGCACTTGCAGAAAAGAAAAACGTATGGCTTGTATGGTTCCAGTTTCTAGGAGAAGATTCATTCGAGTTTTGCACATACAGTAGCTGCCTCGTTTTTTTGTTTTTCCTTTTCTTACGTGCAGTGGCCCTAAGGGCCTCGCTCCACTCATCAGCACTTGCAGAAAAGAAAAATGTATGGCTTGTATGGTTCCAGTTTCTAGGAGAAAATTCATTCTAGTTTTCCACATTTGGTGAGTAGTGGAGTGAAGCCCTGAAAATCAGATGCCGAGTTAGTCAGTCAGTAACCCATAACTGCTGAAACACGGACCTGAATTCAAAGCTACACCATATATAGCTGGCCTGCTCCCTCCGTGCTACAAGTCCAGTGGCTACCGACAGGACCCTTGCCAGTTTTTGGCAGGAACCTTTTGAAGTACCGGCGGGGGTTGTTTGAATAATGTGGAAGGGCTCTTTGCTCTCTCTCTCTCTCTCTCTCTCTCTCTCTCTCTCTCTCTCTCT